CCATTATAATCAATGAGAGTGTTTACACTGGCTGCGCACGGCTGCGCAGGGCAGCAGTGAGCGGATGGTGATCCGGCAAAATTAGATCCGATCCTATTTCTGCCGGCAGTCAGAGCTGCTCCGGAGTGAATTTTTAAAGATTATGTCGCACCAGCAGGAAGACGAATGAGCACAACATCTGTATTTACAAAATAAGACACCATAATTTTGTCGAAATTGCAACTATATGTATTTTGAGACAAATGCTGTCAGAATGTATCGTTCTGTTTGAGAAGCAGATGGCAACATGTAGCATGAAGCATAGGTGTACACACACGATACACGTGGATTTTATTTTGAAATCAGAAGTTTCAAAAAGACGACAGTGATACAGTTCAGCCATGGATATCAAAAGCTTTTATATCTATGTTTTCAGCTGTGTTTGGAGTTCATCTTTCACAGAATTAATAATTTTTTGCTCTGACTTCCACATTTATCACTGGATTTATCACGCAATCTCCTTCCTGCACACCCTCCCTCCTCTGGAGCAGAGCTGAGTGGAGCGGAGGCTGTATAAATTGGGTTGCAAATCAACAGCTGCGAACTGCGCACCGCAACGCAGCGGAGCGGAGTCATAGTGTGAATCCTATGGGGGTTAGCGTCAGGTATGCACTTTGGTGGTTAGGTTTAGGGTAAAGGGTCAGAGTTAGGCTATAGGGGTGTAAATCATTAGTTTTATCACAATATGATATTGTATTGATTTGTTTGGATGACGATTTGATATTTCTTGATATCACAAAGTCTGTCACGATAAGACAATTCAATTCACAAGTCTGCGATTGATAAAAAAAGAATTATATGTGTTCGTTTACCTTATTATARGTTTGTACCAGATAGAAAATACACCAACACATGAATGTTTGAATGTGAAAAGAATTCATTCAACCACACAGCATGCTGATCTGAAGGCAGATCTATTGCTCAGTGTTCATCTCTGCATTCAGCTCAGGATTCAGGAAACTTTTGTACTTTTATAACCTTCTTCAGGACCTGACTCCGCCTATTATTATTGCATCGTTCAAATTGGCCAGCCTACAGCTGAAATCAGGTCCTCATACAATTTTCCTGCTCTAACGTTAAAACAACGATTCAATTAAATGTTGAAAGTGTGTTCAGGCATGTATCTTAATATGTACCTCTGGTTCTGTATCACCATCTTTGGCAGTCACTCAGACCAGTCTGTACATAAAATCATCAGTGTAATCACAGAAATAATTACACAATAAAAATATAAAATTTCACCTAAGAAATGACTAAAAAATGTTCTTTTTAAAAGTCAGTAAACAAACCCCAATAAATTTCTTCAATATAATGCGATATCATACGCCCATCTAACACAATGACTGTGTTAGATGGGCATATGATATGGATTTACATCAAGCATATAATAAAGATATAGGTTGACATTTTCATTTTGCCTTGATACAATTGAATCATGAACCATTATATCGATACACTGATATGGAATGATGCATTGTTACACCCCTATTAGGCTATAGAAACTACTGAAAAATGAATGGAAGTCAATGGAAAGTCCCCATGGATAAAGAAAAACCAACTTTTGTGTGTGTGTGTGTTTGTATGAGCACTTGCATTCTTATTTCTTCCTTTAAAACTTTGCATGTATTATGAAAACTATGTTTTATTTAAAGGAGAGAAAACAAAACAATCATTTAAATTTAAGTTTTATGTGACAACTTGTTTCAAAGTTATTTGACGGCATTTTTGGTTGTGGTCAGGCTAAATATACAAACAGCGCATGAAAAACTTTAGCAAGTAGTGCATGTGTTTGTGAGCACATTTTGGGTTTGTTGAAGGCCGGGCACTTGACATATTTTGCTCAGCGGGTCAAATAAACCATGTGAACACTAGCAAGGACAGAAAAAGCGAAGGATGAAGATTTTACTGTCCCATCTAAAGTGAGTCAAGTCTTTGAAAAGAAGAAGACAAAACATAACTGTGTAAATATGTACATATAAAATCACTTTATGCACTACAAAGTGTACTGTGCACAAACCAATGTAGCGATATGTACTGTAGAGCTATTGTTTTGTTTGTGGTGTGATTTAGCAAAAATCTCTAATTTCCACATTTTCCCCCAGCTTCAAACACTCCGTATGTTCCTCTACTTTCGTGGAAAAAGGCCCAAGAATCTGTTCCCTGGAATATCATTCTCCTTCTGGGAGGTGGTTTCGCAATGGCTAAAGCTTGTGAGGTAAAGAGGCTGAATGTTACAAGTGTTGAACTGTAATCATAAACGTAAAGAAATTTTGCTTTTGTGGCATTTTTGTTCTCTCATAGTCAGACACACCCCGAGATGCTTGTTAGAAACCATTCTGTGAAGTTTTAAAAAGGGTCATRACATTGTGAATGAATCCTGTCTGTGCATCTCTGTTCAGTAGACACGAGCAGCAAAAAGTCAATACTACACAACACATTTCAGCATTTCATCACAGTGCGGCGTGTTTCAGTGTGGGAAACTTTCACCTTTCTTACGGGAGATCATTGAAGTGGCCACCTCGGGGCCAATCAGTGCCCATTCAATTAATCAGTCACTTTCAGTTCACACAGTTCAAACCACATTTTCTACKTTACAGCTTTACTTCARAACTACTTTATCCACATGATCAGAGTGAAAAGAAAATGCACTGAGCCATAACTTTGTCACCAGACTGTGTTACAGTCTAAACCGATGCTGCTGTAGTACTTTTCCTGAGCAGTAAAAACACATTACTGCCACACACACACACACACACACACACACACACACAAGCATGATAGATAAACAAATGTTACTGCACATGTTCAGGTTTTCTGCTTTAATTTTAAGCAAATGCTTGTAGAAACCAACTCACTTTACAGTGTTTCCCCTAGGAAATTGGTC